ATAAGAGTAGCTTTTTATTGGACTTGCTTATAATTAAACCAGTAAATTGGTAAATAAATTTAATTTCTAAATAAAAAATACACTCGAAAATATAACACACACACACATATATATATATATATAAAAGTTGTTTATTAGTTACTACAATTTCATTAAACAGGACATTGCCTCCAGTGATCTCAATATATCATATTGTTCATGCTTCATTGGCACCAGCCTAGACATTTTAATTATAAGCTTGCTAAAATTTATCGACAGAAAACTTAAATAATAATATATAAACAAAAGGTCAAACACGAGTTCCACGTCGGTGCCCATTTTTGACAAATCCTGGTCTTCAAGCTCCTTGTTCGAGAATTTTTCAGTCTCGAATCACTTGATAATGAGGGAGACTGTCCCCACTTTATGCAGCGAGACCATCATTTCGAATGGAGAAAACATGTTGCCTTTCTCGAGAACCTAGAATGGCCGCTGCTTTTGTGGGATAAATTCGCCAATTATCACACAAAATGCAAATAAACGGTGAGTTGACACATGATAGGAAAGTTTCGATGAAATATCATAGTTTGAAAATTTTATAGTTGTAAACCGTCACATTTCACTAATATTATGGTTCAAAATATAATATTCGATAAAATATCATGATTATAAACAATAACATTAATTATAATTTTGTTCTGGTTACCCCCATGATATATAATCAAATATCATGGAATTACAGCATCAATTAAAGTAAATTATTTTGATTATTTTCTAGTTTTTAAAATCTTTTGTGTTTTGAGCCTGAAAAGAGGGATCATAAGTATATTGACACAACAATTCTACATTTGCTTAATAAATTCTATTCTTGAGTTTACAAGTCGAATAAAAATATATATTTTAATGTATAAAATATATTTAAAAAAATTCATAAAATCATAGTTTTGTTAATTTAAAATTTATTTTATTTTATGATTTTAGAAAGTTATAAATTTTATAATTTAACAAAAAATTAGACAAAGTAAGTTTCTTTTATACAAGAACTATATTCAAGATTTGTCATGCTTTAAAAAACCTACTAAAAAACAATAATAATTTCAATTAACAAATTCTAACTAAACTCAATAAATATTTTATAACCACAATAGCCCTGAGAATGCAAAAACAAAATTTATATACATGCAAAATGAATAAAAAATAATTAAGTATTACAATATTTAAGTAAGTTAAATCCCAAAATATATAAATATAACTTATCTATCTAAACTCAATAATAATTTTATAATAATTTCAATCAACAAATTCTAACTAAATTTTATAAATATTTTATAACCACAAGTAGCCCCAAGAATGCAAAAACAAAACTTATATACATACAAAATGAATAAAAAATAATTAAGCATTACAATATTTAAGTAAGTTAAATCCCAAAATATATAAATATAACTTATTTATCTATCTATGTCAATATTGTCTACTAAATGAATTGGGCTAATCAGTAGCATGATTGGATCCAACTCATGCACCTTCTTGAATGGCCTCGTCCTTTGCCATGTATTTAGGTGGAGGAATTTGCTTGAGATCCGGAGTACTAACTCGATGTATGATACTCTTATACCAAATTATATACTTTTTATTTGTAATCATAATATGTATCTTTGTAAATATCTTTTTCTTATGTGAATTCTATTGTAATACATAAACTCCGTGTCGACTTAACCAATTATAATTATCATTTTTAGCTAATGGTCATGGCATGTAATGCATCACTTTTGTCCGTGTTGACTGAGATGTCCTATCTATAATCGAACTGTTGCATTATTTTGTCTGAGCAATGTAACTCAATCATCTAAAAAATATCAATGCAACCATTGATATTTATTTGTCCATGTCCATCCCATTAGTACAAATAGTCAAAGTAACCATCAATCTTAAGTTGTTGTGCTTCTAAAATGTGATATCTACTACATATCATGCTTTCAAAGGGTGACAATATTAAAAATATATTATTTTGTCAAATATTTTTTAAATGATGTTATTTCATTAATTTTTTTATATTTATGATGCTATTTTTTAAAATATTAGAGAATAATATAAATTATATTCTAAGATTTTATTTAACAGTTTAAGCTATTTAGTTAAAATAATTATTCGATATGGTATCGAAGCCTTGATGACCATGCGATCACGGATTCGAATTTCATTATCCTTATTTATTTGATAAAAATTAAATATAAAATAATATAAATATATGCAAATTTCAAGTTTAATTTTTTTTTTAAAAAAAATATATTAAAAAATAATATAAATTATATCTTTAAATTTCATTTAACAATTTAAATTATTAAATTAAAATGTTTGTTTGACATTTAAAAAAAAGTTTTTGTGCTGGCTTTCTTTTTTTCATCGTGTGAATATGTTCAACGGAGAGAACAGGTAAAGACAGCAAGAAGGACAGCAAGGAAATCAGAGAAACAAAATAGAAAAAGTGGTAATGAGAACACAAAAATGGTAATGAGAAAGAGCCAGTCCTCGACTACTTATCAATCTGGATCATCGCGTGAGAAAATGCGGCAATGAGAACACAAAAATCAATCGGAGCCCACAGCTGGAGAACTGATCCGAAGTTGGGACCGATTTGTTGTTCGAACTCGAAAGTGATGGAAGGTGTAAGAAATATTGTTTTTTAAAATATTTTAAAATAGTATTTTTTTTCTTTTTTATATTAAAATAATAATAAAAATATCAATTTAAAACTAAAAATATTAAAAGATCTTCTAATCATCCACCGCGGTACCAAATAGTTTCTGTCTGATCTGTGATGTTGATTTTCAAATATATTACCTTTCTAAATAATCTATATGTGGACATGGGGTGCTGCTTTTGTGTTTCTTTTTTGTATTCATCGTATTTTGGAGCTCCTCCCTTGCTTTTATTATTAGCTCCTCCATTCAAAAATGGAGGGGCCTCACAACCAACCTTCATTCACATGCACTATTATGCTTGTGATAATTTGATTGTTTGATAATATGCCTTCCCTGCTTTATTATGCTTCTTCGCTTGGTCATCAATGAAAGGCCGTACAAAAAAGAATTTGTTGCTATTACAAAAATATAATAATATTTTTTGATAACAAATTCATACTCTAAATATAATTATAATTATTTAAAAATAAAAGTTTAATTAATTTTTCTTTTAGAAAAAAACCTCATAAAGCACCTAGGCAGCCCTTGGCCCAAAGGAAAAAAAGAGAGGCTAGGCATGCATTTTTCTTACTCTTTTTTTCCCCCTAAATTAAGCAGATAATAAAAAAAAGGATATTTTTGTATTAATATCAAATTCAACCCTTAAAATTTTAATTATCTTCAAAGAAAAAAATTGGATATTATTCTGTCAAATCATCAACAACTAATTAACATTAAAAGGTTTTATTGTTTTGAGACCAAGAATCTAATAGCAAACTAATTGAAACTAATTTCCAGTCTCGAATCTAGTCAATGCAATGTGTAAGGAAGACAAATGCTTCAGGATAAGGGGCGGAGCAAGGAAAAAAAATAAAATTAATAAAATTAAAAACTTATTTTAAAAAAATTAAAATTTAAAAAAAATTAAAAAAATATTTTCTTACCGGGACCAGGACACTGCTTCTATTCAGGATGAGAACAAACAAATAAAAGAGGAAACATTATTCCAATTCACATTATTTCCTTTTACAATCCATAATGTTTCTGGGACTCTTTGTATTTTTTTTTATAAGGAAGGTATATATAGAAAAATAATTTTAAAAAGAAAAGTTTGAGATTAGAAGTAGATGACACTAAAAAGGTTTTTTTTTTCTTTTTTTGGGGTTTTTGTTTTGTTTTGTTTTTTATTTTGTAATTAGATCAAGGATTGTATCTAATTTCAATGTAAAATGTCGAAACTACACAATATCTATAGAGCAAAAATTATTACAAGAGTTAGACTCATCATGAGCTCACATTCACACAGAATATTGAGTTTACAATATTTTATAATCGCAATCCAATATAATTTTTATATGAGTAGAATAATAGTGAGTCTAACTCATGCAAAAATTTCTCCTCCTTCATGAGCTTGTACACATTTTTGAAGAATATTTTTAATTCTGAACCATTAGATCATAAGTTTATTTTTTATTTATAGGAACCTCTCCTACTTTACTTTTTCAACAAATGTAACATTCATCACTTGCATTGATACTCAACACAGACATTTAAAGAGTATTGAAAAATATATGTTTAAAAAAAAATATCATAACAATATGTTTGTAAAAAAACTAAGTTACACGACGTATCTCTCTGATTCTGGCATTTAATGTTTGTATTTATGTCATGGTGTTATGTGTTTTTCAGATAATTATCTTAATTTAAAAGTTTTAATTAAGATTTATTATTATCTTGTATTAAATTTTTATTATTAATTTAATTTTAAAAAATAAATGGTAATATTCAATTTTACTCATGATGACTGTTAAGCGGACATGCCACATGATGGTGTTGGTTTGTTTTTTCTAAATAAAAAAAACATATTTTCAAAAGTAATGTTAACTATAATTCTAAACACTGCTAAAAAAAGATATTAGCATAAAGCATGTATTAAATTAAGAGGATACTTGAAGTATATTATTATTTGTTTTTTAAAATGTTTTTAACTAATAAATATATTAAAATAATAATATTTTTTAAAAAATATTATTGATATTAGTACATTAAAATGATATGAAAATATTAAAAAATATTAATTTAAAATAAAAAATTTAATTTTTTTAAAAATATTTTTAAAACATATAAATAAGTAGACTCTAAAATTAAAAGGGTTGAAGCCAAGTGTCAAGATCAACAACCATATATATTTCTACTCGTTAAAAAAAATATTTCATGTTTAATCAAATTAATTTGTGCACATGGAGATAATTTCATCATTGTTTATTTATTTTTTTTAAAAAATCTATACTATCTAGGTTATAATTAACTCGTTGTGCATGTATAAATAGGTGTACCTGCATCGAGAGAGGCATAATAATTGTTTAAGAGAAGAATATTTGTTTCCCATTGGCGCTCCCATGTCTTCTAAATCACTAATTTCTTTTGTGATTTATGGTTTTCTTCTTCTTTCCCCTTGTAACTCTTTGAAGGACAATCCCGATGAAGGAACGAGAGAATATTTTCATTCTCTCAAAATCAATTCTCTCCCATTATCAGAAGTCTGCAAGGAATCTTCCAAAGGTATTATAGTTCTTGATTCAAAATAAGCACATGGCCTCCTTCTTCTTACCACTATTTTTGAAGAAATTGTTCGCATTTTGTTTGGGACTGTGAAGGACAATGTAGAGAGAGAGGATTGCCCTTGATATGTTCTTAAGGTAATTGCTTTGTGTTTCAGCTCTCAACGAGGGTTCATCATCCCTAAAATTAGTACACAGGTTCGGTCCATGCAATCCACACAGAACATCAACTGCTCCAGCATCATCCTTCAACGAAATCCTCCGTCGAGACAAACTTCGAGTGGACTCAATTATTCAGGCCAGGCGTTCATTGAACTTGACCGGCAGTGTTGAGCACATGAAGAGTAGTGTCCCGTTCTATGGTCTATCCAAAATCACTGCAAGTGACTATATTGTCAACGTTGGAATCGGCACGCCCAAGAAGGAAATGCCACTTATATTTGACACAGGCAGTGGTCTCATTTGGACTCAATGTAAGCCATGCAAGACTTGCTATCCAAAAGTGCCTGTGTTCGATCCAACCAAGTCAGCTTCATTCAAAGGCCTTCCATGTTCCTCAAAGCTATGCCAATCAATCGGGCAAGGTAAATATTATTATTTTGACATGCATTAAAAGTTTTAATTAATTGGCTGATTAAAAATATTATTGACACAAAAATGAGATAAATTAAACCTTAAAAAAAATAAAATTTCAAGACATCTATTTTCAATGTTGCGGATAAAGGATGCTCCTCTTCGAAGTGCACCTACGAAAGTGCATATGTAGACAACAGCAGCTCCACAGGAACTTGGGCCACCGAAACAATATCCTTTAGCCATTTAAAGTACGACTTCAAGAACATTTTGATTGGATGCAGCGATCAAGTATCTGGTGATTCAGATGGAGAATCTGGTATAATGGGACTAAACCGCGAGCCTATATCTTTTGCATCACAAACTGCTAATATATACAACAAACTCTTCTCTTATTGTATACCGTCAACTCCTGGCTCAACTGGTCATCTTACTTTCGGCGGCGAAGTGTCGAACGATGTGAGATTCTCCCCAGTATCTAAAACAGCACCATCTTCGGACTACGACATCAAAATGACTGGAATTAGTGTTGGAGGCCGTAAACTATTAATAGATGCATCGGCTTTTAAGATTGCTAGCACCATCGACTCCGGTGCAGTGCTCACTCGGCTGAGAAATGTTGAAAGGTTATCCTTTGTCGGCCCAAGATATCTTTCTAGACACATGCTATGACTTCAGTAATTATAGCACGGTTGCAATACCTTCGATTAGTGTGTTCTTCAAAGGTGGCGTAGAGATGGATATCGATGTTTCGGGGATCATGTTGCAATTTCCAGCAGGGAGCAAGGTGTACTGCTTGGCATTTGCAGAATTGGATGACGAAGTTTCAATCTTTGGGAATTTTCAGCAAAAGACTTACACTATAGTCTTTGATGGTGCGAAGGAAAGGATTGGGTTTGCCCCCGGTGGCTGTGACTAAAATGGAAAAAAAATAATCTTGGAGCACTAGCTCTAAATTATAATATACCAATAAAATGGTTTGATTTTATATTTTCTTTTTGTTGTTCTCTTAAAACATTCACTAACAAACCTTTTAATTTTATTAAAATTAATATTCTCTAAAAAAAAAATTGGTATTTTAAAAAAGTAAATATGTACATTTGTTAAGTAAATAAATAAATAGTAGAAAACAGATGTACATTTTTTTTTATCAAAAAAAGATCGATTTATATTTTTTTTTCTCAGAGAATGTCTACATGGGTGTGTTCTCTTTTTAACCATCATGAAAAGTAGGTAAAGAAGATAGTACTACATTTCTCACCTCCTAGCAATGCCACCAATTCTATTTCGGGTGATTGATTATGTTTCCTCAACTCAATCACTATGTTTTCATTATTGTATTCAACGGAGTTAAAGATGTAATATTTTTTTTTAATTCAACTAATAGCTTGTTTAATATTATGATAATGAATAATATTATTTTTTTAAATATTTTTTTATTTAAAAATATATTGAAGTAATATTTTTATTTTTTAAAATTTATTTTTATATCAAAACTAACTAAAAACATAAAAAAAAATTAATCTTAAACACAAAAACAATTTAATTTTACATGTCAACTTATCTGCAGACTACTTAACCACCACTCACAAGCATACGATTTAAGATTGTCAATTCTCAATTCTGTTCTGATAAGTATTTTATTTTTCAATTGAAATAAAATGTTTTGATTTTATAGTATTTTGGTATATTGTTTCAGAGTCAACAAACATAATTTAAATTCAAAATAAATTAATTATAAATTATGCAATACAAATATAATATTAAACAAATATAATTTTGAAATTTAAAATATTTTTAAATAGTCAAAATTAAATAGAATTTTAACTTAAAGTAATTTAATTTAAATAAAATATCAATTTGATTTAATAGCTTTTCAAGTCCAAAATGGAACATATGAAATGAAACTTGAACATGTGAGTTGAAATTTATTTGAAAAATTGGGAATAGACTGAGATTTAAAATAAATAAAAAATATTTTATTTTTGAAATTAATATTAAATATTTTAATTATTTTAAATAAAACAAAACAGAATTAACAATCTTATTTAGGTCACGTATGATTGACCAAAGCTTGCTAAAGAAATATCCTGTCCACTTATGTTTCGTCTTTTCCTTTTAATTCCTTGAGCTACACATATCCCCAAAACTTCCTTCCTCTGTTCATTTCATTTGGCAAAAAGTGAAATATTGCATAATTTTTTTAACTTCAAGTGAAATTAAGGCTAAATTCAAAAAAATTCCCCCTCTCAACTCAAGCGAAAAAACAAATACCTCTTGAACTAAAAAATCTCTGATCTTTATACCAAACAATATGATTTTTCGAATACAGCCTGTTACCAGAGAAATTGAAGAAAAACCCCCATAGAAATCGACCATTTCCCTTTTTTTTCCTCTACCAACTTAAGAAAATATATTCACTGATACAGAAAAAGAATTGAAATGATTTTTAAGGGTTTTTTTTCTCTTAAATTTCTCGATAAAACTCTAATAGAGAGACATTTTAAGAAAACCATGATATTTAAGATGATACATCAAAGATTTGTTTTTTCAATCAAGCTCAAGAAGCTTTTTACAATTTAGCTCAAAGTGGGATCTTTTTACTTGTACCCATCATGAGCTATGATTCATGGCTGGTTTTTCTTCCACCCAAAGGAAAAATCGAAAGAAAGAGATGGATAGCTGGTGCTCTATTCGTTGCATTCTTTTCTGTTTCCGGGAACCATTTTCCTTTTAATTCCGTCCTATAGACACCACCACGAGGTCCACGACCACAAGGAAGTGAGATTTGCGCAAATATCTTGTTAATTAGCACTTAAAAAAATTTAACAAATAACATAGTTTGAAAAGCAATTTGTGAAATAACATGTATATGTTATGATTAATAAATACTAAATTTAAGTTTGTTATTATTACAAATAGCAACATTTAAAAACAAAATTGAATACATGAAAAGAGAAGGGAAAAAGAAAAACTTTAAAAACAAATCAAAGCTTCAATGAAAACACATAGCTGGTGCTGTTATTTTTTTGGATTCCAAAAAAAAATAAAAAAATATATCTAAAAATATTTGAAAGAAATTCAAAAAAATAATATAAGTGAGAAAATGTGCTGGAA